GTCCCTGCCCGGGCTATAAACGGCACTGCGAGCTCCCGCTCGGGTTTCAGGGGCTGAGCCCGGCCAGCGATGGAGCAATCGCAGTGCAAAGAACAAAGGTTAGAGCGAGCTGCAGCTGGGCAGACAATGGAGCAGAGGCTGCAGCTGATCGCTGACCACCAGAGTTGCAAAAGAGGAGCAGGCGGGCAGCGCTGCCAGCCCGGGCGCTGCAGCAACCCCTCGTCCCATGCCCTCTGCTGAGCTTGCAAAACCACCTCCAGAGTTGTACCTATTTGGCAACTGAACAAGGGCAAAAACCAAAAAATAGTCCTAGGAGTCCATAAATTAAACATGCTTGCTTTTTATAGGATGGGAATAGGGAAATCGAGTTCAGTTTTGTTTAAATTAGGGAAGCACAGAAAGGGAGGGGAAAAATTAGGAAATGCTGAACCCATGGGGATTTCTCCCAAGTTAAGAGTTGATACAATCAAAGCTCCATCAGCAATTACAGCTGCAGAACACAAATTGGGGGATTTGCTATCAGTAACCGAATCTCTCATTGCAATAATGGAAAAGAGCAAAGTGTCAGGAAGAGAAGAGCCCATTCCCAGAGCCAGAACTGCAGAATCCAACTCAACACCGTGTTAACTGTTCCCTATCCCCTCTGACCCTGCTGCTTGTAAGGCAAGGCACAAGGGACATGAAACCCAAATAGTTTTGGGATTTGTGGCCTGGAAGAGACGGCTGCAGCCCTGCTCCCTGCCTTCCTCCAGGAGCCCTCCCTCCCTAATCCTGCAGCCAGCAGGTCACAACTAATCCAGAGCCAGCAGAGGCACCCAGGGCCCACTTCAAAGATCACAAATGATACAGAGGATCACAGTGATGGCCTCTGAAAGAGCTGCCAGGGTCAGGCAAAGGGGGTGCCCAGCCCATTCCAGCTGCTGTTGGGATGTGCAGATTAATCAAGGTTTTGTCCTCACCCAAGCACAAGGCCCCCATGCCCCCTTTTCAAATATAAGTCACTGCTAAAAGTCATTGTTAAATGAAGATTTCAGAGGCACATTTTCAAGCAATTTTCCTCATCTATAAGCAGAAATTTGGAAGAAAAATCTCATTAAGCCACAGGAAGCAGTAGGGGTTTATTTGTGTGATGAGCACAAATCCTGATCCCTGGGAACAGCAGAAAAGCTCCAAAAAAAGGGAGTGGAGGAAATGCCTGACTGTGCCTGTCTGCCTGGAAAAGGACCTGAGGGAGGAGAGATGCTGCAGCTAGCCCAGCTGAGGAGGATCCAATGCTCACACCCCTCTGGGCTGGGAGCTGCCCCCTCCCTGAGCTCAGGGACCAGCGGAAATCTCTCCAGCCCAGCCAGGACTCCACTGGCTCCACAGCAAATCCGCTCCCAGCCACATCTTGGCCTCCAGTTTGCAGAGGAATTAAAAGCAGAAGGCTGGCTCAGTGGAGCTGGGCTGCAGAAAACACTGCCCCACTGGAGAGCTGCCACTCCTTTCCTCCGCAGCATCTCTTCCCAAACCCTTCCTGCCTGTCCTGCACTGACCCCTCGGGGCTCCTCCCAGGGCTCTCAGGGGTGGACAGCAGGCACAGAGAGGCTGTCGGAAGTGCTCACAGCAGGGACAATCACCCCTGCAGCTCCCAGCTCCGTGCTCGGGCACATTTACACCTAAACTCCCTCTGACTCGCTGGCAGTGGGAATCTGCAGCTGGGTGAAGCATCTCCCCCTGCAGATCTCCTGCCCCCACACAACCCGGGACTGGAAACAACTTCAGCAGCTTCCAGAGCCCTTGTGAAAGACCTGGAATGTTCCCGTTTATGACAAGCGAAATACGAGTTCAGTTTAAAACCAGAACGTCCAGGGACAGGAAGGTTTGGGATGCTTTGCCCACGCTGCTCCGTGCCCATGGCCTGGCACTGCCTTCGTGCCCGGCTCATCCACGAGGATGGCACAGGAGGGATCCAGGGGACACTGCATGGCTGGGAGGGGACAAATCCCAGCACCACGGAACGATCTGGGTTGGAAAGGACCTTGCAGCCCATCCCATTCGGGGCAGCTCAGAGCCCCCAGGCTGGCACATCCCTGCCGGGCGGGGTGGGAGGAGGGTGGAGGAAGGCTCCGAGGGTCGGGGGGTGAGCAGGCTGTACCTGTCCGTGGGGTGTGCAGTAGGTCTCGGGCTGGCGGAGGCCGCAGGTGGAGGAGGCTGTCAGGAGAGGAGCCCGGCCCAGCAGCAGGTCCCCGGGGGCAGGGTAGCAGGCTCCGTGGGTGCAGGATCCCTGTGCTGCCAGGAGCCGTGGGGCAGCTGAGACAGGGAACAGGTCAGGGCTGCTGCCAGGGGCACGGGCACCAACCAGCCCCACGGCAGGGCAGCTGGGCAGCTGCGTGCTGCACCAGAGCAGCCCCGAGGCCGTGCTTCCCAATGCACCAGCCCACCGAGAGAAGGGTGTGTCAGCCCCAGGTACCTTTAGTTTTAAATAAGAGTGCTTTGTACTGAGGGTTACTTCCAAAACACTTCCTTGCCCTGGCCCCAGTTTTCGGGCTGCAGGGATGCTCTGTGCCTTGCCCATGGAACTGAGCAGCCCTGGAGGTGTCCCCTGTTCCCAGAGCCACCCCTGGAGGTGTCCCCTGTTCCCAGAGCCACCCCTGGAGGTGTTCCCTGTTCCCAGAGCCAGCCCTGGAGATGTCCCCTGTTCCCAGAGCCACCCCTGGAGGTGTCCCCTGTTCCCAGAGCCACCCCTGGAGGTGTCCCCTGTTCCCAGAGCCAGCTCAGGCCAGGGAGCAGCCCCCTGCCACCCCCCAGCACCGCAGCCAGGCTCAGCAGCGCTGCTCTTTAGCCCACCGGGCCCTGCTCTTTGGGGAGCAGTGTGAGCCTTACCCAGCAGCACAAGCACTGCCCATGGCCACAGCTGGCAGCGAGGCTCCATTCGGCCCCAGACACACCTGGGGAAGAGTTTGCAGCAAGACTGAAAAGAGCAGAAAATATCAGTTCAAAAGCTCAGTCCAGGTCCTGCTTCCTTCTCACTTCACAGGGAGATAGTTTTAATTAATCTACCCAGAATAGCGTGGGGGGAAATCAAGAATAATGAAGAGGAAAATCAGATGCTGAGACTGAATTTGCCTCCAAGGCAATGAGCCCGGAGGGGATGGAGTGTGCACACACAGCCGGGCAGCCCCCAGGCCCCCTCCCAGCCCCTCTGTGTGCCCCAGCCCCTCTCTGTGCCCCAGCCCCACCCTTCCCTTCCAGAGTCAATCCCAGCTCCAGCCTGGCGCGGCGGCCCGAAGTCACATTCCAGGAAAAGGAGAGATCCATAAAAACCTCCTGTGAGAGACTCCTGCAGGAAAAGGAGCCCCGTGGGACAGCCCAGGGGGGATGCTGCCAGCACACACCCGCAGCGAACAGAAACCTCACCTGCCCCGTGCCCTGCGCTGTCCCCGCGTCCCCGGCACCGCAGAGCTCCGAGCCCGGCCGAGCCTGGCAGGCTTTAAACGCCCTGCCTCACCCGCAGAGAAGGTGCCCGTGGGCGCAGCGATGACAGAGCAGTGATTCAGGGATCCCCAGACATCCACGCCCTGTGAGCGCATAGCTGCGGGCGGGCACCGCGATCCGCGGGCACCGGGCGGGGGAAGAGCCCAGCTGGGCTCCGTCTGACCCGCCCGGGCTGTGCCGGAGCCTGGAGCCGGTTCCGGGGCTGTGCCGGAGCCTGGAGCCGGTTCCCGGAGCCTGGAGCCGGTTCCCGGAGCCTGGGGCCGGCTCGGCACCGGGCAGGTTCCGCACGCTGTGCCCACACCGCCCGCAGGGCAGTGCCGCTCGCAGCACCTCAGCTCCAGCCTTCAAACACTGAGGGAAACAGCAGCGTACCATTATTATTATTATTATTATTATTATTATTATTATTATTATTATTATTATTATTATTATTATTATTATTATTATACTGCGGCAGCAAAGGCACAAACTTCTAAGCTAAACACCTCTTTGAAGTGAGGACTGTTGAGCGAAGGCAGCTCAGACTGCTGCCGCCACCACCCAGCGCTGCCCACACGCCGGATTTCAGCTCAAACTGGTTTTCAACCTGAGCAAAACTTCGCCGAGCCCTCTGCATGTACCTCAGTGGAATAACCCCGCAGCCAGCTCCTCTCCCACACTGGTGGGGGGCTCGGCAGGACCCCGGGTGGCTCCGGGTCTCTCCTGCTGCGCTGTCCTTGGTGTCACCCACGTCCCATCCCCACCCGAGTGACACCGGCACGTCAGGCTGAGGGCGGCAGCTCCGAGCAGGGCTGCACACAGAGCTGGGAAAATTAAAAATATCGTCCCTCGGGCTGCAGAGTGTGAAAGCAGCGCCGAGCCTGCTCGGGCCGAGCTGCGGCGCACGGGCTCGGCTCCTGCTCAGCAATGCGGTAACGCCGCATTCCTGTGCCCGGCCCCGCCCGGCCCCGCCAGGAGA